TTTGATCCGATATGAGTGGGTTATTCGCAAGACAAGGAGCGATACAGACCCAAGAGGGGAGAAAAAAGGAGATCACCATGAGATGATGGAGGTTGAGATCAAAGTGCAGCAAGGCAAGGAATGCCGATGATGGTCAGCAAAGCACCAGGAGCTAGAAAGAGGCAAGCGGGGAATCTCCCTCACAGATTCCAAAGGAGCATGGTCCTGCCAGTGACCCTGAATTTGTGGACTTCTGGCCTCCAGAACTGTGAAAGAATATCTGTTGTCTTAAGCTACCCACTTTGTGGTATTCCATTATGGCCGCTGTAGGATATCAATAAAAATCTTCCACTAGGCAGGGAACTCCATCCTACTTAATAGTAAAAAGATCCATGCCAACAAACAACAAACACACAAAGATCCATGAAACAAAATACCTTAAAGAAAGAACTTATCTAGATTGTCAATCCTACTCTTCAACAGGCCTGAAGAAGAGAATGGGCTCCCTGCAGCATGTGGTCCAGGCTGGAAGCTTCTCTAGATTCCGCCACCTCAGCACAGTTGGGGCACTTTGGAGAAAAAGAGCTGAACGTGGACTTAGAGAGAATGAGGGCTATTATGTAAGACTAACAGTTGGCTGGTATTCTCTACAGCTCTGATCATTTAGGGCCAATGCTATACCAATATTTAGATATTCTGATATCATACCTGAACTAACTTGCAACATAGACACAGGACACAACTGCACCTTAAGCAAGGACCTGGCCCAGCAAAAATACCACAACAGAATGTTCGAGAGCAATGGACTGTCTGTTTAGATCCTCCCTAATTCACATTGAAATTTCAACTTCAAAAATCACGGTATTAGAAGGTGATGCCTTCGGAAGGAAATTAGGTCATGAGTGTAGATGGCTGATGAATGAGAATATTGTCTTCATTAGAGAGACCCCAGAGAGATTTCTTGTGGCTTCCACAATGTGAAGGCTCAACCAAAAAGTCACCAGCCTGCGAGGAATGGAACCCTCACCAGAAACCAAATCTTCTGGAGCTTGATCTTGGATTTCTTGGTTTCCAGAAGTGTTGAAATAAATTTCCATTTTTAATAAGCCACCCCATCTAGGGATTTTTTTGTACAGCAGCAAAATGGACTAGAACAACAAGTGTCTGCAGATTTACCAAGGACTGGTTTTCAAAAGTGACACCAGGTGGGTGACAGTAGCTCTAGTTTTTTCTCTTCCTGATATTTAGAAGTAAGACTGAGAAAAGGAAGTTCTCAAGAAGATATTAGACTTCCTGCTAACGAGGGAAAGTGGGAATTTGAGCAATTAATTAGAAAAATAAAAGAGATTTTGTTCTATTTATATCCCAAGTTGAAAAAGCAGGTCAGAGTGACAAAGAGAACACAGTGAACCACCAAACCATCTACAGGCTAAGCTGTGAAGAATGAAGTGTTCCAGGAATAATAGATGAGAAAATCTGTTATCGGAAGGTTCAAAAGAGATTTTCTGAAACCTAGAGTCCAGTTTGTTGAACCAAATCTCTGAATAGACTTCAAATAAAATCTTTCTACAGAAGTGAAGCTATTACTCAAAATCAGCCAAGAGCAAAAGAGTCACATAACAGCAATGGAAATTGGTCAGCTGTTTCCATGCAGAACTGAAAGCAGAAAAAATATCCATTTTCTCAGCAACAGCTTGTCATCAGCTACAAGTTCTGCTTGGAAAAAGCAAAGGATGCTTCACAGCCTGACATTACAGAGATATAATATAGATGCAGGAGCTACTTGTCCATGTGCAAAACAGACAAGATATCAAGAAATTTGACTCAAGGCATCATTTGCATCCCCGAGTACTTGAAATTGGCATGGCCACTGATCACCTGCTTCAGCTGGGTCCCTGGGGGAACCCAGTTAGAGTGGGTGCTGTGTGTGTACATGCTAGGCACTCACAGTGTTCAAGGAATACCTGCTGTTGGTGTTATCAGATTTGTAGAGGGGATGTTACGTGGGGTATTATAATCCTAAGGATAGTGGGAAATCAATATATTTTTCCTATTCTCAAGAAAAGCTCTTAAGTCTAGAGGAAGTCACAGGAAGTGAAGAGTCACAAACTGGGGATCTGAGTCCTCTCATCAGTACCCGGCAGCTTATGCTCTATTTCTTGCCATGTGTCCTTGTGAAAGTCACTTAGGATGGAAGTTTTTCATCTCCCTATACAGTGAGCTCTGCAGCCCTGTCATCTCCAAGGATACTGGAAGCCTTAACGAGTTGGCACCTTCCATGAGAGCTCATCAAAACAAAGGCGCAAAGAATGAACCAAGACAAAGTGAAGAAGGGTTGTGATTCACCTTTTCTCCCTCCTTGGGTACTACTGCATAAGAAAGCTGCTTTTCTTCTTCATATTAGGATTCTGTTTCATGATTCCTTTTGTTCTTTTCTCTTGGTCTCTTTCACATGAATACACATAGTATGATTTTTTTCTCTCTCTTTTCAATAGGAACTCCTACTACTGATGTTTCCAGGGCAAAACCACTAGGAAACAGATCTAGTTCTTCACTCAGCCAATGTCTAACCACGGCCTTTAAGGAGTCTACAATACCTAAGGGATGAAGACAAACAAGAAAATCAAGCAAGTAGGCAGTAAGTGCTGAAGGATTCACAAAACAGCTCATAGACTTTCAGAAAAGGGAAAGTTTCTCTTGAAAGTGGATAGAAGGGGGAAAAAAAAAACCCTAAAGGCCAAATGTTTTTCCTGATAAGTGGATGCTGATCCAAAATGGTGGGGGGGGGGAGAATGGAGGAACTTTGGATAGGACAAAGGGGACAAAGGGAAGGGGAGGGGGTACAGGGGTGGGAAAGATGGTGGAATGAGGTGGACATCATTACCCTAGGTACATGTATGACTGCACGATGGTGTGACCTACTTTGTGTTCAACCTGAGAAGTGAAAAGTTGTGCTCCATTTGTGTACAAGGAATTGAAATGCATTCTGCTATCATGTATAATGAATTAGGACAAATTAAAAAAAAAAGAAAGTGGAAGGAGGTGCTCAACTTTCAAGTGGCTTTTAAAAGTTGGATACAGAATTCAACATGGGAAGATGAAGTCAGGAAGAGGCCACGGTGTGAGAGACACGTTGACACATGCTGACTTGATTCCCACTGGTGACAACTATTAGTCTAGTCATGGTTCAAAAGGTGGCTGGTCTTTAGTTAGCTGGCAGCATTTTAGGCTGGAAAGACATTAGTATCTGCTTGGAGAGGGCATTAAAGGTCAGTTCAAGGCTAAATAAGTAGTTTAGTAGTTTTCAAAACTTTTTTTTAGCTTCTTTTTTTTTTTTTAAATTACTTTTTTACTTGGACACAATACCTTTATTTTGGTGCTGAGGATTGAACCCAAGGCCTCGAATGTGCTAGGAAAGCACTCTACCGCTGAGCTACAGCCCCAGCCCTTTTTTTTAAATTTTAATTTTTTTTATTGCTAAAGACACAGGGACTTTCTGACGAAATACGATAGGAAATTATTTCTTCTTGTCTCATTCACACCTATCTTTGGCACCTTTAAGGAACTATGCAGAACCCTAGGACTCTACAGAATGTATTTTTCAGTAGCTAAATGTTTCTAAGCACGGGGATGACAGAATTAGCATAGAATATTCAGGAGATACACCTGGCATCTCTGTTGAGTTAATTGGCAAGGGACAAATTAGAGACAGGAAAACAGAAATAAAAATGCACTGGCCAAATGTTTGGCATATAGATAGCTCTCAGTAAATACTTGCAGAATGCACCATAATTCCAAGGAGGAAATAGAGAGAGATTTTCAAAGAGTAATAGATTACACTTGCTACTGATTAATCAAGGGAGACAAGAGAGGGTTACGATGAAAAAACTCAAAGTTTCAAGTCTGGGCTCCAGAGAGAAGGAGTAAGAGAAGCTCAAGAGGAACTGAAGGGGCTAGGGACGATTATGTGTTGGACATGGAGCAAGGTCAATACCGTGGAGGGATATCGAATTGTAAATGTCTAGGGACATTTGGCAATGAAGACTGGAAGACTGGCCAAATGTCTCTTAAGAGAGAGACCAGAGTTACAGACATAGAGGTGATCATGTGATAAAGACACATGCATGGATAAGACAACATGGAGAAGTCAAAGGCAAGACAGATGCTCGACATTGAGAGAAAGGGAAGAGGAAAGGAAGCTAAAAAAAAAAAAAAGACAGTGGAAAATAAAACCACGATTGTTCAATGTCATAAAAAACAAGTGAGGAGCCGGGCACGGTGGCTCACACCTGTAATCCCAGGGGCTCCAGAGGCTGAGGCAGGAGGATAGTGAGTTCAAAGCCAGCCTCAGCAAGGGCAAGGCCTTAAGCAACTCAGAGAGACCTTGTCTCTAATAAAATATAAAATAGGGCTGGGGATGTGGTTCAGTGGCTGAGTGCCCCTGAGGTTAATTCCTAGTACTGGAAAAACAACAACAACAAAAAGGACACTTTGAAGAAGGGGACAACCCACACTCAGCTCTTTTAAGGGCATAAGAAGAAAGAGAACCAAGAGAAGGTCATTCTATGGCACATATCATCTACCTTCAAAAGGTCAGCTTCAAGTGTGAGGAAGGAGCTCTGCTTAGACTTGATTATGGAATAAAAGGACAGACCAAAAAAGGAAATGATGACCATGCACAAGTTAGGCTTTCCAGAATTATAAGCAATGAATGGCACAAGGGAACCAGATGGTAACTAGACTGCAAGAAACTTTTTCTTTCATTTTTGAAGCCCAGGAGAACCCTGAGCATGTTTATAGACAGATAGGAAAAGAGAAAAGAGTCAATAGAAAGGAAACTGATGGGGGGAAAAAAGAAATTAGAGTCAAGTAAAATTTTCAGTGATTAAAAGTCATATTTTTCAAAGTTGGAGACACAGTTAGTGAAAACAGAGTGCGCAGAATGTGAACATCATTCTTGTAATTGGACAATTATTGCATATAAGGCTGCAGCTTAAGAAATCCCATGAAATACGCTTTACCTGGAAAAATGCTCCTGCGTCCCCAATTAGTCATCTGGCAGGAGGCTAGGCAGCAGTTCCTTCAGCGGCACAGAAAACAGAGATGTTTATTGCCTTGAAACACGGCTATGAGCCATCAGAACATTAGGCTGTTTGGATAAGTGCTTGAAAATATTGAGCTGTAATTTCAAAGAAACTCTGCAGAAGGCCTCAGGCTCTGCAGAACAGAGATTAAAACAGCGCTAGCCACCAGGAGCCAGAGGAGACATAAAAAGTAGTTGTGACATGGTGTCCTGGATGGGTTCCTGGAACAGAAAAATGACATTAGGTTAAAGCTAAGGAAATCTATGCAAAGGATGGATATTGAAAATAACAATGTATCAATATTGACTCGTTAATTGCCACCCATGTACCATAGTAATGCAAGATGTTAATAAGAGCAGAAATTGGGCGTGAGGTAAATGGAAACTCTGTAAATCTAAAAATGTTCTTAAAAGCAAAATCTATCAGGAAGACCTTAGAAGATCTCCCTTGTTCTGGGATAGGCAGAATTAATATTGTCAAAAAGACCATACTGCCAAAAGAACTATAGAGATGTAATGCAATCCCAATCAAAATCCCCATAGAAATAGAAAAAGCAATCATGAAATTCACCTGGAAAAATAAGAGACCCAGAAGAGCCAAAGTAATCCTTAGCAAGAAGAGTGAGGCAAGTGGCATCACTATACCAGACCTTAACCTATACTATAGAGCAACAGTAACAAAATCAGCATGGTATTGGCACCAAAACAGACTTGTAGACCAATGGTACAGAATTGAGGACACAGAGACAAACCCACATAAATACAGTTATCTCCCAGGAGACAAAGGCACCAAACACATACATTGGAGAAAAAGACAGCCTCTTCAACAAATGGTGCTTGGAGAACTGGAAATCCATATGCAGCAAAATGAAACTGAGCCTCTATCTCTCACCATGCACAAAACTCAAAGTGGATCAAGGACCTAGAAATTAAACCAGAAAACCTGCCACCTAATAGAAGAAAAAGTAGGACCAAATCTCCATCATGTCAGGTTAGGCCCTGACTTCCTTAGTAAGATCCCTACAGCTCAAGAAATAAAATCAAGAATCAATAAATGGGATGGATTCAAACTGAAAAACTTCTCAACAAAAAACCAAACCAAAACAAACAAACAAAAAAACAATCAGTGAGGTGAAGAGAGAGCCTACAGAATGGGAGCACATTTTTACCACACGCACATCAGATAGAGCACAAGCTCTAGGATATATAAAGAACTCAAAAAACTTAACACCAAAAAAACCCATTTAAATTGGTGCATGAAACCAATTTAATTAAGGTATTTCTCCTGGGGGTTGCTGCTTACAGCCTGAGCTTGGCTCCACCCAGTCTTTCTGGCTTCCTGTTTGGAGAAGTGGTCTCTTCCCATTAGAGCTCCTGGCATTGTGACATCATTCCACCATGAGGTCCTCAGTAGAGCTGAGCCGATGCCTTGCCTTTGAGCTTCCAGAACTACGAGTTAAATAAACCTCTTTACTTATAAAGTTAGTTTGCCTCAGGCATTTTGCTATAGTTATTAAAAAAAAAAACTCATCCAGGACCTCTGGAAACAAAATGAGGTACACACTAGTAGGCTCTGTTCATCATGACACTGTCTTTCTCTGCCTGAGGATTTGCTGATTAAAGGGAGTTCTGATCAGTCCATTTTGTTTTCAGGTTTGTGGCCCACTTCTGGCACCACTGATACGGCACATATTCACTTAGTGCAGTAGTTGGTTACATGGCCCTGGATCCAATGCTTGGATGCAAATCCTGGCTCCACCACATACTAGCTATGAAATTGGGCCAGTTTCTCAGTCTCTCTGGGTCTGCTCTTTATCAGCAAAATAAAGATGAACATAGTGATAAAACTTAGAATTTGACACAGTTATTCCACTCCTCAGTTTATACCTAAAGGAGTTAAAATCAGCATCTTATAGTGACACAGCCACATCAATGCTTAAAGCAGCTCAATTCACAATAGCTGAGCTATGAATGGTTAAAGCAAATGAGGTATATATACACAATGGAACATTACTCAGCCATGAAGAAGAATGGAATTATGGCATTTGCCTGTAAATGGATGGAACTGGAGAATATACTAAGTGAAATAAGCAAGTCCCAAAAACCCAAAAGGTGGAATGTTCTCTCTGATATGCAGATGCTAACACACATTGAGGGGTGGAGAACAGAAATTCATTGAATTATACAAAGGGGAATTAAGGGAAGGGAGGGAGAATGGGAATAGAAAAGAGTAAAATGAATTGGACATAACTTTCCTATGTTCATATATGATACACAGCCAGTGTAGCTAGCTCCACATCATGTACAGCCACAAGAATGGGAAGTTATACTCCATGTATGTCTAATATGTCAAATACACTCTACTGTCATATATATATATGGAACAAATTAAAAAGACATTAAGAAAAGATGAGCATAGTGCCTGTCTCAGAGGCTTGCCATGAGGATTAAATAAATTAATACAATTGTCCCACAGAGAGATTGGTTCCAGGACCCTCTGTGGATACCCCAAATCCACGGATGCTCAAGTTCCTTATAAAATGGCATTTGTATATAACCCATGTACTTGAAATCTTGTCTAGATTATTAATAATACCTGGTAGGCTGTTATACTATACATTTTAGGAAATGGTGATAAGAAAAAAAGTCTGTACAAGTTCAGAACAGGTGCAATTTTCCCCAAGTATTTTCAATCCATGGTCGGTCAAATCCAGGGATGCAGAGACGTGGATATGGAGTGCCACCTGGGTGCATGACGTACTTGCACAGGTGTATGGTTACAGCTTAGCCAGCCAGTGGTAGCTCTTTATTTGGGGCATCTTGGGTTTTAATCTTATTCCTTGCTTTATTAATTTCCCAGCCCTCATTCTGTCTGTGCTCCAATATCATCATTTATTCTTTTTATCCCGTCTGTCCTTTTTGATATATTTTCTTTCTTTTTTTCTTGTGGTGCTGGGGATCGAACCCAGGGCCTTATGCATACAAGGCAAGCTCTCTACCAACTGAACTATATCCTCAGACCCTCTTTTTGATACAGTTTTTTTAAGCCATTTTGAGTCTTTAAGCATATTAATCTTCTCTCAGGTAACAGTTGATTATGGAACTGCTGATACTTTTATCAGTAATTTTTTTTTCAGTACTGGGGATCAAACCCAGGCCTTGTGTAGGCCAACCAAGTGCTCTGCCATTGAGTTGCATCCCCAGCCCTTGAGTAGTAATTTTAAGAAACAAAAATATACATATCTTATGCATGGTTATGGTTAGGATGTGGTTCTGGGCCCAAAGTTTAGGACTGATTTTTAATGTACTTTTAAAGTGTATTAGTTTGTATTTTTTAAAATAAGCCTATTGAAGAAAAAAGCAAAGTCTAAGCCAGGATCATTTTGGCATGCTAAAAATCTCCAATATAGCTGGGTCATGCCTAGTAGTCACAGCTGCTCAGAAGGCTGAGGCAGGAGGATTGCAAGTTCAAATCCAGTCTCAGCAAACTTACAAGGCCATAAGTAATTTGGCAAGACCTGTCTCAAAGTAAAAAAAAAAAAAAAAAAAAAAAGGCTGGGGATGTGAATCAGTGGTTCAGACCATGGTAACAACAAACACAACAAAGGTTAATGATTCAATAAACTGGTGTAATCATATAAGTCTCTGTGCAGGTATACTGGACTAATTTTGTTTGGTGTTAATGGATGTCAGAACTAGTTCTGCTTTACCTGTAATTCCCTATGCAAAAAGCTACTAGGGACCTGGTGCTTCAACTGTAAGGTTTAGCTTTAAGAGGACCTAGAAGACCAGGTCACTCATTTTTTAACATAAGACCTGAAGAGGTTAAGTTCATCATTTGATAAGTCCTGTATTAATGCTCCTTCATGGAGTCAATGCAAAATTTATTAAAAGTAAAATTATTTTTTAAGATAAAATGCTTTAAAAAATTGGGTTCTGCTAATAGTTCTGCATCTTTTAAAAAATATTTATTTTTTAGTTTTAGGTGGACACAATAATCTTTATTTTTAATCTTTATGTGGTGCTGAGGATTGAACCCATTGCCTCATGCATGCTAGGTGAGCGCTCTACCACTGAGCCACAACCCCAGCCCCAGTTCTGCATCTTTATATGATTTGGGGCAGGGCCGGTTCCAACACATAGTCTTAATATTTTAAAAATATATATTTAGTGCACACAGAATTATTTTATCCATCTCTAATTTATTTAGCACAAGGAAGATGATAGGAAATAAGCTTATTTCTTCCCTAGCGACCAGCCAGTTACCTCAATAATTACCGCATGATCAATTTTCTCCCACTGTTCTCCATGCCATCTTTATTTTCCATTAAATTATTTTATGCATTTGCAAGTCCACATTCTAGCCTTGATGCTGGGCTCATTGATCTGCAGGTCCATTCCTACACCAATTCTGATTTAATTACTTTAGCTTCATCATACATTTTAATACTTTGCATTTCCCTCTACAGAAATTTGATTTAATATTTCCTGTGATTGGGATGCTCTTGCTGTACAACTGTAGGAAGGATTTAGAACGGTGGACATAGGTCAGGAGTAGATCTTAAAGCTCTGAAAGTCCCCAAGCTTCTCTTAACAGGGTAGCTCCCTTCGTTTCCATCTAAGATAGTTGTGATTTTACAGAGTGAATAGTAAGAAAGCCCGAGTGTCCTGCCAGAGAGGACAGGACACCTTTTTTCTTAGGTCTTCTGTAATCGTGGCTATATTGAAACCAAGCCTTAAACATTCTGTAATTTGAAGGAGACAGCAACATGCAGGAGGCACAGAACCTGCTATGGCTTTGCATTTTTTAAAACCTCCTTTTACTTGTACTCAGAGAGGAGCAGATCAAACCTCTCTACACATTTTATTCTATAGGAATATACATAAGTATAAACAATATCTAGTTTCTCTGATGTTGGTTTTCTAACTAAAAGGGCCATTTAGATCATTATTTCATTATTCTCTTTTTTTATCCCTGTCAGCTTTTTTTTAAAAACATTTATTTTTTAGAAGTATTTGGACATAACCTTTATTTTATTTATTTATTTTTATGTGGTGCTGAGGATCGAACCCAGGGCCTTGCACGTGCTAGGTGAGTGCTCTACCGCTGAGCCACATTCCCAGCCCTCCTGTCAGCTTTTCATGAAGAGTAATATATCTTTTCATTATTGCTTAATTTGAACTCATGTTTTTCCTATTCATTTTTAGCTCTTTAACCAGTTTTCGTTTGGTGAAAGGCTTCCATGATTTTCCATTTTCAACAGAGAAGAGGAAGAGGCAGAGAGCACGGCCTAATCAGAAGAGGCCGTGAACTCAGCGCCCTCAAGGCAGGAAGGCCGGCATCTGGGCACTGCCTGTTGGAGGGGCTGCCAGAGGCCATTACCACTGGAGCAGGAGGACCTTCTTCCATCTGCTGCTCCCTTTCTGTTGGGAGAGGCCCTTGTGTCTCACTTTGCCGGAAGAGACCACCTTCCAGCAGTTCCGTGTGCTCTAACTCAGATTCTGAAAAGTGGGGGGAGAAGAGGAGACCCCTTGAGCCAGAAGTCCTCCTGGTGAAAGATGCCAGGGTGGACTGGGTGGCTGTGGGTTCTTCCAGTGAGCCAGCCTCTGTAGTCGTGGTAGACACGGCAGCCCCTTCCTAGGGCCCGGCTCCATGTTGGCATGAGTGCTCTGCAGAAAAGAGGACCTGGCAGACTTTTAGGCCTCTCGGTGCGGTCAACTCCAATGCCAGTGAGCGGATGTGGAATGAGCCGTTCTGGGGAGCCAGAAGAGTTGACCTGGTTTCCTCATCACCTGGCAACTCAGAGACTGATTCCTCTCGGAAGCTCTCCCTGAGCCCTGGTATTTCAGGGTGGCTCTGAGTCCCCACAGTCCTGGACTCCTCTACCCTAGGATGGATCAAGTTTCATTAGGTAGGACTGTTCCCACCTTCCTCTTGCTTCATGCATAGACTACATCCATTTGGAGTCCAAGTCCAGTGACCTATCACCCACCTGTAAGGTCCAGGGGGGGCCTCCTTTCTTCTCAAATTTGCTAGGCATTATGTCCATTTAGAACATGGTCTCATTGCACTAACCTTGGGTGTTCTTTTTAGGAATAGAAATGAAATAGGGTTCTGTGAACTATTTTGAAGACTCAAAGAAGTTAATAGCAACTGGCATACAGTCAAAAGATAAGACACACTGGAAACAGAATATGTTAGAAAATCTTTATTAGAATAGCCAAGCTGACCTACAAAATAATAAGAGACCAGAAGTTCAACAACAAGAGGTGAAATACTAGTCAATAAAAATTAGGCATACATTTTAAATCCCACCTTAGAGGAAATATGTAATTTGAAAGAAACACATCAGCTACACTCAACATGTTTTTGAAGAAAAAAGAAAGGAACCAGATGATTTTTCAAGGATACTTGTTGAAAATCTTACTTAAATGTAC